TTTTTTTTTTTTTTTTTTTTTTTTTTTTTTTTTTTTTTTTTTTTTTTTTTTTTTTTTTTGCGCTTTCGAGTTTGTTGACGGATATACGATTTTGATGCTCTCTGTGAATGAGCTTCCTCCATTGGTTCGGCTCATGGAGGAGGAGGAGCTATTTTCGTTCTGCATGTTCCGTTGGAGTTTCCTAGGGTTTCAGAGAAGACTTGGAGTAGAAGGATGATCGAGGCTAGTGGTGCGGACGAGTAGAGCGGGCTAGGAAAGTATAGGTTGAAGGTAGAGTTTTACGTGTGAGCTTCATTAGGCTATCATTATTTGTAATATAATAATAAATAGTTTAGAGTGGGGGGTTTCCATTGGTGAAGGTTTTACCGACACTGTGTGGGATTCCGCACTGTTCATCTAGCGTTGTGGATAATTATTGCCTAGTTATCGCGACTTCAGAGGTAGAGGGGTAGATTTTACCAGACTCAATAAGAGAGAGAGGGAGAGAGCAACATGAGAGCTATCTTATTGAATTCAGATTTGTGACCGTTTAACGTACGCTTCTCTCTTTCTCTAATTTGAGCCCTAGTCTTTCTTAAGTTTGATTTTATCTTTTCTCGTGTTGTGCTGCCGTTTCTCCCTGGGTTTCTCGCTTTTTTTTTTTTCTTTCCTTTCATGATTTTGGAGTTTCGAGTACATTTGATGGATTGTATATGGGTAATGTCTTGCAGGTTTAGAGATTTTCAACTTCAACTTGGTTGCAGGCTCTGATGGTAACCATGATGATGTTTGTTTGGGTTTCTCGTAATATGGTGTATTAACGTTGGGAAATTTGGGGGACTTAAGCAATTTTATGTGGTGTTAGTGATATTGTGGATATTGGAAAAATTAGGTGGATGGAACATTGTTATGGGTTTGAACAGCATGTTGCTCAACAAAGCCGGCGTGATAAGCTAAGAGTTCCGCAGAATTATTTGCGAGTAGTGGGGGAATTATCCAGTAACTCTGGCGAACAATTGGGTTTTCAGAACTCGGAGCATTCGGGGCTTGATCTGGATCTTGTTCGAATTCAAAGTTTTAATAAGAACGCGATTTTGCCTCATGATTTGTCTTCTTTTCCGGCAGAGATGATTAATTTTTCAAGGGATTCCAACGTTTTATCGGACCAAAGGCACATAATGTTGCGTCAAGAGCCAGAAGACCCTGGTCAATGCAGTAGGCAAATTCTGGCAGATGCTTCGTTGGGTTCTTTTGCCAACTCTTTGTTGAAAGCCTCTGGCGAAATTATGAATAATTCTTTGGGAGATTGGGTGGTGAACTGTGGAAGTAATTCTTTGGGAGGTGAAATGTTGAATGAGGAAGTAACGGATTCTACTGTATATTCACTGAAGCCAACTTGCATTGGATTCCAAACTTCAACCTCTTTTAACAATCCATCCAACGAAACATTCATTCAGGATGGACAAAAGCGTATAGCAGGAGAATTGCATTTGCCTCCAATTTACCAAAATAGTCTTCAGGGTGTTACTTCAGCCTCTATTGGAACTCAGGACATGGAAATGACTTCCATCGTGCAGCATAATTTCACTGAAATTAACCAAACTGGTTCTTGTGAAGGCAGTGGAAATGAGCTTGCTCTTCTTCCTGTGTACAGGGATCAGCCGAATGTGTTGCCTTATGACAGTACTGGTTCTTGGACAGATAGAACTTTCTATAACTGCCGCAGCTGGACTGGCGATTTGGGTTCAATTGCAAGAAAAACTGGTGAAGAATTGAGAACTTTTATGAGTGATTCCAATCCACAAGGTCTATCTCTGTCGCTTTCTTCGAATCCGCCATCTAAATTGCCCACCGCCCAGTTCGAAGAATCAGAGGAATTACAGGAAAATATGACCGTGTTGAAAAATCCCCAAGAATCCAAAGCAGGCAAATCTGAGAATTTTTGTAGATTACCAAACCCAACATCTATTGGCAATAAAAATCATGGGAAATCTCTTCAAGACGCGATGGGAGCTCCTATGAACACATATAGAAACACAGGTCCTCTTGGTCCCTTTACTGGTTATGCGACCATTTTAAAGAGTTCAAAATTCTTGAAGCCAGCCCAACTATTGTTGGACGAATTTTTTGGCTCGAATGGTCAAAAGTTTGTCCAACCATATGAAGTATTTGAGAAGACATCTGGGGAAGTTGGTGCCTCAGCGGTCCATAGTGCATTTAGAAACGAGGTTGTTAAAGAGAATAGTTCATGTGCTGAAGCCTCTACGTTCTGTGGTTCGAACGAGACAAATGTTAGTGGAGTTGGGAGCATCTCTACTGAACCTCATCAACCAGAGTATCAGCAAAAGAAAGCGAAACTTCTATATATCCTAGAGGAGGTTCGTTGCATTAGAACACTTGATTATAACTTGATCTATTTGTTCAGTTTTAGTTTTGATCTAATGCATTTTTTTTAGTTTCTTAGTGCTCATTTTATTGCTAAATGGCGAATGGCTGAAGCTGTTTTGCCATTGTTGGCGCGGTCTGAATGTATTGGCCAACATCTTCCTGTTATTTTCCACCCATATATTGATTCCTTAACGTAGTTAAATCAATAGAAAATTTTCCACTTTTTGTGTTCTAGACTGTAATATAATTTTGTATTACTGCAACTTGCAAGTCAAGATTAAAGTTTATAGATTGCTTTTTTTCCTTTTTCACTTCTAGTAACATCTACAATGTATTTTCCATCGTATTAAAAGGTTTGCAGAAGATACAAACAATATCATCAGCAAATGCAAATGGTAGTCTCATCCTTTGAATCAGTAGCTGGTCTTAGTTCTGCCACACCCTATATTTCCCTGGCGCTCAAGACAGTCTCTAGGCACTTCCGCTGTCTGAAGAACGCCATCTCAGAACAATTGAAGTATCTGAGGAAGGTATTAGGTGAGGATTTGTCATCCCCCTCCGCCGGGACAAGCGGCAGCAAAGGTGATGCAAATTCGGCTAGGTTGAAATACATGGAACAGAGCTTCCAAAAGCAAAAATCTGGCATGGTCAATATGGGATTCCTCGAATCCCAACATGTGTGGAGGCCGCAGAGAGGTCTTCCAGAACGTGCTGTGGCAATTCTTAGAGCCTGGCTCTTTGAGCATTTTCTTCACCCGTAAGTTTTCTCTTAGATTACTACTTCAGGGCTGACTTGAGAAGTTTCTAACTTCAAGTTATTTGATTACTTCTCTGTATCTTCTGTTTTTTCCAGGTACCCCACAGACACAGATAAGCACATGTTAGCCACTCAAACAGGCCTGTCTCGTAATCAGGTAGGGTCAACTCTTGGTTATCACTTGTTAGTACTTTATCAATTATCGATTTCTTATCTAATCAATAATTATTCGTGGGGCTATAACTCTTTATTTTCATTATTAGACTTCTTTTTGGTGGAAGGTGGTGTTTAATTTAGTTGTTAGTATAGTTTGTTTTGCCATTTTGCTTTCTTCTGCTTGCTCTGTAGCATTAAGTAGGATGCCGTTGCCCTTCCTCAAATTATTGGTATATGAGATCAAAATGTGCAGCTTTTCACCTTGCAATTATCGTTTAAATACAAGTATTGCTTGATATCACATACTGTCATGGTGTCGATTGGATGATGATTACAATGTGACCACATAATTCAGGTGTCAAATTGGTTCATAAATGCTCGAGTGCGAGTGTGGAAGCCAATGGTTGAAGAGATACACATGCTGGAAACTAAGGGCATGGCCGAAATGAACAACAAAAGCCATGGTACGAAAGATGGTAGTTCTACAATAGAAAACACAGCCGGTTGGATCAGTAGTGAACAACAGCCTCTTAAAAACCATGGTGTTGCAAATGAAATTGCCAGTCATCATCTGCAGTGCTTGGGGGTGGATTCCTCAAGTGGCGATAGAAATGGAGTAGGCAGTAGCAACCAACAGTGTGATCAAGACAAACAATCCAAATTGGACCAAGGGATTCAGTCCAACATGGAAGGGGAATTGATGGGGTTCATGCCATATCGAGCCCGTCCGGCTGAGGTTGGAGGGCTTGGATCTGTCTCTCTAACATTAGGACTACACCACCGAGTTGAGAGTGCCCACCATCAACAGCAGCATCACCAAATGCAGCAACAAGATGACCAACTAATACGCCACTATGGAGGCCAAATGGTCCATGATTTTGTGGGGTAATTTGGCTCACCAATTTCTTTTAATGATAAAAGCTCAGGACCAAGCATTGGCAAAGAATTGGTTGATGATGCCATCGTTTAACATATTTCTGTTCCATTATCACTAACAAATCAGCCCACAAAACTCCATTGGTTTCAAAAATGGAAATTTGGGATAGACATTATCTATCACTGTGGTTTGATGGGGGACATGTATGAATTCTACATATTTGGTTGAATGCTGGAAAAGTGTAACTTTAGAAAAGTTGGATTTTTAAATGAAACTTTACTTCGTTAAGTAAATAGTATTGAAATTAGAAGAATTGACATTCGAAGAAGAATTATTAATATTTTATCTATGGAGTTATCTTTATTTCTAAATGAAATTGGAACTAGAATCACGAGCACATGATCGATGGTTCAGAAAGAAGGGACAGACCAGAGTCCATAGCCAGCTCTCCATATTACAGGTATCTATTTCACAATCTTTATGACTATTATTGATGATTGTGTTTGTGTGAAACCCAACAGATAGAAAGCTGCAGCAGAAGTTGATTTTGAAAGAACAATGCAGCACCGTTTCCAAAGGGACGTCCTACCACAATCAGAGGCCATTGCTGATGATTTCCGCAGCTCTAATTGAATATATTCTCTCCAGCTTTCTGTAAGTCTCTACTTTGTACATTCCATCTTTTCCAATGCTACTGCCTGTGCCTGCCTGTCTCTTCGCTGCATGATTGACACAGAAAACTGAAGGGTTGAGCAACCCTATGTGTCTTGAGAATAATTTTTGTACTTTCAACTGTTTCTGGATTTTACTGCCCATTATAACTACTGTTTCTTCTGATTTATTTTCTTTCTTTTGGAATTTATTGTTTGTTTTAGCCATGGTGAGTCAGTGACTGTTAAGTACAACTACAACTTCTGAATTTTGTAAAAGTAAGTCTTTTCTTTTCAATGATTTTTTTTTAAATTGATCATGTTGCTCCATAGTTTTTCCATTAATGAAAATTTGGGCTTTCTTTTCTTTTGTTTGTTTATTTTTAAAGCCTTTAGGAATTGGATGTTACACATATTATGCTGATCTAAGTATGATGCTGTGTTGAAAAAAAGTTCTTTCTTCTTACTTGGGATACTCATTCATATCTTTGAATCCCAAAAAAGGAGCTTAATTCATATTGGGAAACTTGAATGAAATACACAAGAGTTTGACGTAAAGTGAAATGTAACTGAGCAAAACAACTAAAAACAAAAACTTTAGAACAAAAATAAAACGCCTATGCTTGCTTTTCATTTCATTTATCTAACTTTGATTCAACATTTTAAGAATCTTATACTTTTCTTCTTTTGGATCTAGTGGCACGTGACTTTTGAGAGGCTAACTCCAACTTCACGTCGAGGCCGAGAGGTTGGATTTGATTAGTTCGATTTGAAATTTGTTATTTAAAATATTTTTTTCGAAAAAGTGGTTTGATGTAAAATACATATGGTCAACAACTAAAGCCATATATCCAATGAGTTTATGGTTACCCTTGTAATTGTGACATTAAATAGATTGTGATTGTGGGTTGAGTCACAAAAGCAAAGGTAGGCATAAGGGGTCATAATTTAAGTAGCAACCTTTGGCAACGCTTTATACCACCTATGTTCCGACCAATTAGCTGCCAATGTGGCCTTTCCTTTCCCTATTCACAATGCATGTTGATATCACAACACATTATACATTATACCTTAAATTTATTCATTTACAAATAATCATTAAAAGATCCTACTTGTTCTTCAAACCTTTCATCAATTATATCACCCATTTTTTGTCCAATTATACTGCTTCCTCATGTGTGTGGTTTCTTACTACAAATCTACCAAAACAAAATAAATCTAGCCTTTAAAAAAGTCATTTTTATTTGCTTTTCTATGGATCAGTTTCAACTTTAAACCATTTCTTTGCCAACCATTGAAAGCCTCCTTGTACTTGCTTGCGATTTTGTTCCTTCATTTCGTTTCTCATTCGTTGTTTGCTATTCGTGTTTGCTCTTTTCCATTGCAATGTTATAGTTTGATAACTCAGGAGGTCATCAAACATAGAATTACTATGGAGTTGTTATGATCGAGCCAAAAAAAGAAAAAGATCACCTTGTTGGTATATGTAATAATTTTCAATTCTTTCAAGCATTTCTTAGTCATTCCATCCTCTACGAATGTGGTCCTAGTTCATTCATGTAACTCTTCTTTTACTCGGATGATTCTAGTGTAAATGAGTATGGTTTGTTCCTATATTTTTAGAAACAAAATCCGAACACACTAAATTACTTACAAAATATCTCATACAAATATCATAATCAAACTTGTATCCAACATAAAACATGCAAAACTCGACCACAAACGCATAAAAATACACCTAAACGAAACCTTTAGCATACATCCCATGAGGCATATTCTAGGCCAAGGACGTTTTGTTTCAAACACACAATAAAAAATGAAAATAAGAGTCAAAACAAAGAGCCAAGAAGGGTTTTAGCCACCACCATTATCACTCCCACCATAGTTATTGAAAGCATCTCTTGGGATAAAATGATGGTTCTTCCGACCACTTTGATCTGGATAACGACCAACATGGCCAGCCTTGCCATCTTCATTCAGCCGCCATTTTAGTTGCTTTGCATCAGCTGCAGGCAAGCAAGAGGAGCTCAAAATAAGCAAAACCCCAATAGCAAACCCAATCACCAATACGTTTCTTCTCATATTTTTCACAAAATCTTTGGCTTTGAAGCTCTGTTTTGCTTCAAAAATGGAATTGGAAAGACATTTTGTGAAGGTTTTGGAGTTATAACTTAGACAAAACTAAGTGGTTTCCCCATATTGCTTTAAAAAGTTTGTCTTTTCAAATCCATTTTAATGATGGAGTTTATGGAATAAATAGGAGAATTCCACCATGTATTCATCTTTTTAAATAGGAGAATTCCACTAATAAGTTTAATATATATTATTAAGTATAAATATAATTAGGATAAATTAGGTTTTTTATATTCTCCGAGTCCCTCCTGACATGGTCACATTATTCATTTCTCGCATTTAAAGAGTGAAGAATCCCCACAAATCAATACGAGTTCTTCCAACATGTTTTATCTTTACTCACATACATCTTAGAAAAATTTCTAGGAGGGCACCCAACATAGAAAAATAATATAGAGTGGTATGTTATGTTAATGATGTAATAACATAGTTATTAATCACTCATAAAAGCTAAAGACTTCGAACATGTAAATAACTCAAAGAACAAAGACAAATTAAACATTAGGAAGTCCCTCAGCTATCAACCAATGCACCCAAACAAGTTCAAATCAACAACATAGAGAGAAATTCAGCTATGTTTGAATACAAAATGCGACTATGAAAAACGAATATTCGTGTTCAAATATATTTTCTAATTCGAGGAAATTTGTGTAACTTATGCAATCATGAATATTTAAGAATTTGATCGAATGTGGTTTACACGTAGTATGATATCTATGCCAATATAGTTTAATCGTAATTATAATTGACATTTATTATTTTTATTTTTGTTGAGATTGAAGGTTGAAATTCTTGTAATTGCATTTGTTGTACTAAAATAAATATAATAGTTAATGTAATTGATAGGGGTGTTTGTGAGTTGAGTTGAGTCGAATTGCGTCTAGTCGAGTTGTGACATTTTTTAGGTCCAATCCAATTTTTTTTTGTGGGTTCGTTGTTTCGAGTTACCGAGTAAAGTAAATTTATGTATATACAATTGTATTCTAAGAAAAATTGTATTTTTAAACTTAACAATAAATTCGATGCAAAATTCTATTCCTGAAAATTATAAATACTCCTTTTCGTCAATCTTTGGTTGAGTACATGTTCCTATCCAATTTTTAGGTGAGAAAAAATAAAAAATTATCTTATTCCATCAATATCTCGTTAAGATCTGATCGAACCCAAATACGAGAGAGCTCGAAGAACAAAAAGAATCGAAATATAAAGTAATATATAGCATATAAAACAACTCTATAAACCATAACGTAAATACACATGGTGCATGCACCATCCTTCATTATTAACCTACAGATATATATTACATACCAAACATCCTCGTTAGATACCATCTTTCTAAGCTAACCCTAGCCAGCCAGAAAAATGGGTATTAAACTTATACAAAACATGAACAAAAACATACATGCATAAACAAACATATACATATATATATATATATATATATATATATATATATATATATATATGTTGAGAAAAGAAGCACTATTCCCTTGTCTCCTTTCTGTTGCTCCAACAATTATAGTCACTTCTATAGCATCCATGGTGATTGTATTCATTAGTTTCATAGTGCTTTTTGGCTTCCAAGTTTTGGTTCTCATCCCTTTGTTCTTGCAACTTCAAGTGCCTTCCATCAGCAACAAACAAAGTGTTGATAATCATAAACACCATCACTACGCCAACCGCTACACGTCTCATCTTCATCCTCTCAGCTGCAAAAAAGAATCACACAAAGTTTAAAGCTTTATGGGTTCTGCATGAATTGTAATCAAAAGAAGGGGAAAACAATGAATAATTTACTATTTTGAAGCATGCCTTTGAGAGTGAATGTTTGTGTTGGTGAAGGAACGAGTGTTTGTATTGCTTTATATGAGTTCTTTTTAGTGGCAAAGGTTAAGTGGGTCGGCCACAAATCTTAGGATTTGTCTTTTGAAATTGATTTGAATGATTGAGTTGAGAAAATTTTGTGTTTTTCATCTGTGTTCATAGTTGAGTTCCTGTGAAATTACTCATCCCGGAAATTATACATTGTTGTTTTGATCTTTGTTCATCACAATTGGGTTTAAATGAGAGACCATAGATTTAGAATTTGTGTTTTGTAACACCCATCTAAATTGTGTCTTCTTTGGGTTTTTCCTTTCGGGCTTCCCCTCAAAGCTTTAAAACGCTCCCACACCCTTATAAATGGTGTTTTGTTCTCCTCCCCAACCAATGTGGGACATCACAATCCACCTCCTTTCGGGGCCCAACGTCCTCGCTGGCACTTGTTCCTTTCTCCAATCGATGTGGGACTGCCACCAAATCCACCCCCCTTCGGAGTCCAGCGTCCTTACTGGCACATTGCCTCATGTCTACCCCCTTCAGGGAACAATCAGAAGGCTAACAACATCATCCGGTGTCTAGCTCTGATACTATTTGTAACGGCCCAGATTCACCGTTAGCATATATTGTCCTCTTTGGGCTTTCCCTCAAGGCTTTAAAACGCGTCTACTAGATGAAGTTTTCCACGCCCTTATAAATAGTATTTTGTTCTCCTCCCCAACCAATGTGGGACATCACATTTGTGCATTGTGATTCCAACATTCCCGGTAGGAACTAGGAAGATGTTCCATGGTTACTGTAGCATCCGAGTAAAGGAAGAGTACATGAATAAACTGATATTACATTCGAATGAGAGCGATCCTGAGAATAGAATGGTTAAGAAAAACCTAAAAAAAATTGAAAGTCACATCCCTATACCTATACAAACAAGGTGTACTTTCCTTTTCTTTTATGTGGCTTAATCATAAGAATTCTATAGTTAAACGTGTTTTGCTCAAAGTAGAGGATAAGTCGCAAATTAACTTCCAAATACCAAAAGCCCGATAACTTGCAAGAAACAATAAAACATACGACCACTCAAATACAAGAAAGAAACACGGTTTTCCTCTCAAAATAACACGATATCACACCAATGAACTAACTTACTAACCCTACGAATCAAGGTAACTGATAAACAAGTGACAATAATTTGAACACTTTGTAATCCTATGAAAAGAATAGTATAAATGTAGGGGTAATGTCGTGATTAAAGTGAAAGAATGTCGGAGGTGCGTCCAACATGGTTGTCGTGCATCATCGTTGGCTACAATGATAGGCGCTATTAAAAGAGGGAAGCGAACGTGGGGTGCCAAATCATTATTGGTGACCCAATTAGCTCTAATGGATTTGATATCAATGCCACTATAAATAGCAAAAATCGGGTACAAACTCTAAACCCTAAACCCTAAACCCTAAACCACTGCTTTTTTTCATCCGGTTTTGCTTTTTAATGCCATGTGTTGTGAGAAAAATAATTCATAAAGGGTCGAGTAAAAACGGGAGATTATAAGATTCCTCGAACTTGAGTTACAATCTAATCCTTCAAAACTTTATATTTGTTAGGACTCGCACATCATGATATAAATTGTAACGATCCATGTTCAGGAGTCGAAATTTGGATTCAGCACTTGATGGCCCGACATTACCTTAGATCCCCTGCAACACAGTCACGTTACTTACTCTTCACTTCTTAAGAGTGAAGACTATTCTCACCGACCAACATGAGTCCTTCCAGCATACTTTGTTCTCACTCACATGCATTCTAGGAAAATTCATCTGGAGGTCCCCAACATAGAATTGCTTCAAGTAAAACACGTTTAACCATGAAGCTCTTATGATTGAGCTACCGAAAAGAAAAGTGTAACTTGTAGGTGTAGGTAGTAACTTTTATTTTTTTTAAAGTTTTTTTAGTCATTCTATCGTTAATATCACTCTCGTCACATATGGTCTCCGACGATACTAAAGACAGTTGAGGTTTTTCGAGTCCTTTATCGTTCATAAAAGTTATTTAAAGTGAGTCGCTACTCATATGTTGTGATGACACTTTCTCAGATAATCTTTTTAGTATTGTAAAGTGTAGAGTCGATATCTCATCCATAAGAGTTGATGAAAAGAGGATGCTTCTTTTTCCAAGTTGAAGACACGTCTAGCTGGTTAGTGGTTTTGAAATTTGCTCAAGTTGACATATTGGTTGACTTCATAAAGTCTTAAAAGAACAACTTTGATCAATTGCTTTCAAGATGATATGTCCTAAGATATAATATCATAGCCTACGCTATTGACATACATAAACAATTGTTTCTGAACTATTTTTGTAACAACTCAAATTCACTACTGATAGATATTGTTCATTTTGACCCGTTACGTATCGTTGTTAGCCTCACGATCTCGCTTGCATGCCGCTAATGTCTAGCTCTGATACCATTTGTAACAGCCCAAACTTACTGTTAACAGATATTGTCCGCTTTAGTCCATTATGTATCGACGTCAACCTCACGATTTTAAAACGTATCTGTTAGGGAGAGTTTTCCATATTCTTAGAAAGATTGTTTTGTTCTTCAATATTTAAATTCTTAAAAAGAGAGCAATAGAATGTAGAAAATATTCCAAGATTCAAATAATTGTGGGTTTTAGAGTGATGTGTGAGTATTTTCCACTGAATGAGGCAGGCTTAAGTGGGGGTGTCTGTACACATTCAAAAAGGAATTACCTTTTGATATCATTAAGTATGGAATGTAATTTACGTAAATGAATCAGACAACATTCGAACTTCGAACTAGGGTAATCTTTAGAATATGGTATTCAAAATATATTTACCAGAAATGATAGTTACTATCAATATTAGTCTCTAATTTATTTCGGTTACTCGAGCAATCCACATCTCTTCTAGGATACCCATGGTGAGTCTGTTCTCTCATTCCCTGGAAGCTGCTGCTCGAGTTTATTGGCCAGCCGTCCGACCCTTGTATGCGACGTCCCTTCAATTAGCACGGTCGAGCTAATCAGCACATAACTTTGTTCCATTGAGATATTAACTTCCTAAATCTTTTCTCTATTGAGCTGGTGGACTGTTTATATAGCACATAACTGGCCATTCTTAATTGGGGTTTTTTTGTTCTGCATCAAATCAGGCAAAGATTAAGTGGGTTGCCCCCAAATTCTTAAAGAAATATTTAAAAATGGATTGAAATGATGAACATGAAGAATAGTTGTATCATTTTTGGTGAAATAGAAGGCTTAGGGTTAAAGTTGAGTACACTTGGTTAGCTCCGTAGTGTTGAGCACAGGTGGTTGCCTTGTAACGATCATGGTATATGACATCTAGAATATCTTGGTAGGGCTATCAAAATCTAAGCCACATTATGGTTTAGGGCGAGTGGTTTTTGAAGAGGTGAAAAGTGCTTTAATGAGTGCCTATGTATTAAGGAATGATCCATACTAGTCGAGTTTTAGCATGCATCGACGGTTCTTAACCCTTTTTCCAATGACGTTATAACACGTAAAAAGAGATAAGTTTTTTCGATGTGATTCGTGTCATTGTGAGTTCTTAACATTTCTCAACATTGCAGCTTTAACGACGCGGGGGGAGGTGTGAAATTCTCGACAGGATATGTTTTGCAGACACTGGGCATGTGAGATTCTACATTGATTGAAGAGAAGAATCAAACATTCATTGTAAGGGTATGAAAACTTTTTCTTAGTAGACGTGTTTTAAATTCGTGAGACCGACAACGATACGTAACAGGTAAAAGCAGATAATATTTATTACCAGTGAGTTTTGGCTGTTACAAATGGTATGAGAGCTAGATAACGGATGGTATGTTAGCGAGGAAGTTGGGTCCCCAAGGGGGTGGATTGTGAGATACTACATCAGTTGGAGAGAGAAAGAATCATTGCTTGCAAATGTGTAAAAAATCTCTCCTTAGGAGACACGTTTTAAAACCGTGAGGCTGACGGCAATATGTAGCATGACAAAACAGACAATATTTGCTAGCGATGAGTTTAGGATTTTGCCCACACATTTTGGGCTTCTATCCCGGAGTTCTCAAATCATTGTTTAGCTACAAATCTAGCACTATAACAACATATAGATCCATTTGGCTTATATTTTGTAAAAAAAAAACCCATTTACAACCAACGACATTTACGAGGGAAACGAACCGATATCCATTTTGGCTTATTGACCGATTGCTGCAATGTTACATTCGAGTAAAAAATAAAGTATATGAATGAACTCATATCACATTTGAACGAGAGTGATCCTGTGTCACGATCCGATTTTTTAGGCTTCGAAACTCTGGATTGTGACCCAAAGAAGAAATCGAAAAGAAAAGAAAAAAAATAAAAATAAAGAATTTAAAAGAAAAGAAGAATAATAAAAGATGCAAATCCATTAAAGACTTAAAACCAAAGAAAGAGAAGTTAAATTTCAAATGATAGAAGGTGTGTACAAATTTTAAAATAGGAAACACAAATATGAAAGGAATACACAAAGACTCCAAAAGACCAAAAATGGACTGACGTTTCGGAACGACCCCCTGTGACCATACAGCTTTCGAACGCTCCTCCACCTCGATTGACATGTGAAAAAAAGGTAGAAAGGAATGAGTATAAAAATTATACTCAATAAGCCACCTACTTGTAGGCTCTCATCGCATCCTAAACTTAACAGAAATCTCACGGTCTTCTAATTGGCTAAAGAACGCATGGTTCTAGTTTTAGTCCCTTTGGGACTCGCTGGACTTGCTCTTTGGAGTTTCACTGGCTCTCCATCCTTTCATTTGATATCCAAGAGTTCCTTATGCTAAGCTGGACTGACCGATATCTCTCCACGAGGCGCAACCTTTACATGGCTAATTGAGACTACATGTTATCTTGCCTAGGAGTGTGTTGAATACCTCCTAAACCCATAATAGTTCTCGGCTAAAATCTTTGCATTTGACCAAAATTACAGCTAGTTTCCTTCATGAATCTTCTGCAAAATTCCTATATCAAAATTTCAAACCTTGATTCACA